TTGGTCTGCAGGGCAACTCTTTTCAGGAAAGGGCAAATTTTCTGATTTGGCATTGGAATTTCAGGATTGTGAAGAATTGCTAGGAAGCCTAAACACACAAATGTGGACAGTAGGTGTAGGCCATTCAGCCCTTTGAGTTTGGTCCAACATTCATTATGATCATGGCTACTGAATGGCATGATCAGCCTCTTACCACTTTTCCCCAGCCTTATGATTTGATCACTTTAGCTGCAAGTGCTATATCCAATTCCTTCTTGAAATCGTACACTATTTTGGCCCTGATTGCGTTCTGTGGTAGCAAATTCCACAGGCTCACCACACTCTGGGTCAAGAAATTTCTTCTTATCTCAGTCCTAAATGGTCACCTGTGGTTCTGGACTTCCCTACTATCAGGAATATCTTTCCTGAATCTACTCTGTTTACCCCTGTTACAAATGTATAGGTTTCTAACGGATTCTCCCCCCACTACCCCCCTCATTCTTCTGAACTCCAGCAAATGTAATCCCAACCAATTCAACCTCTCCTCGTATGTCAGTCCCACCATCTCAGGAATTAGTCTGGTAAGCTTTCGCTGCACTCACTCTATAGCAAGAATATCCTTCTTCTGATAAGGAGACCAAAACTGTGCACAATACTCCAGGTGTGGTTTCACTAAGGCCTTGTATAATTGTGACAAGATATTCCTGTTCCAGTAGTCTAACCTATCGCTATGAAGGCCAAAATAAATAGTCTTTTTAACAGATTGCATGCTTTCCATCAGTGATTGGTGTACAAGGACACCCAGGTCTTGTTGCACATTTCCCTCCCTCAGTTTATAGCCATTCAGATAATAGTGTGTCTTTCTGTCTCTGCTACCAAATGGGATAACATCACATTTATTGACATTATACTGCTTCTACCATGCATTTGCCCACTTACTCAGCTTGTCCAAATCACACTGAAACATCTCTATTCCCATCACAGCTCCTCCTCCCACCCAGCTTTGTGTCATTTGCAAATTTCCTTACATTACTCATTGATATATATTGTGAATAGCTGGGATGCTAGCAGTGATCCCCATGGTACCCCACCAGTCACCTGTCTGCCATTTGGAAAAAGACCCATTCATTCCTATTGTGTTTCCTGTCTGCTAAGCAGTTTTATATTCATATTCACTATCCCTAATCATGTGCTTGAATATTACACACTAATCCCTGCGCAAGATGATATGAATCTAACATTAACTATCATTAACTTCCCTGTGAACAAATGGCTTGATTCTCGACATGTGATATTGAAACTTTAACGACTTGATATCACTTGAAGGAATTTTATTATTTTTTCCCTATAAAACTCCTGAAGTATCAAATCACAAAGACAATAAAGAATTCAATTAACTATGAGTAATTTTATTACAAGTCAAGGTAACTTCCAAAAGATTTATTGTTGGGGTGGGTTTGAATTATAACTCTGAGACAGGCCATTCAATCAACTAATCCATAGCGTTTGTGCTCTGTTGTGATGATCTCATTGGAAGCCAGAACTTTTTCAGATGAAAAGTCTGAGATCCCAGTTATCTACTCAGTAATGCACACGATTCCATCATTTAAAACTGAAGAATTTACTATACAAGAGTCAAACAAAACAAATGTTAAATATTGTCTAAGCTTACCACTTATACTTTAACACACAGAATCAACACAAGTTGAGTGTGATTTAACCAGCAAATTGTTATATTGTAAAGCATGAAAAGCATTTTAAATGGTAGATATAACTAAAATTTTGAGTCCAGTTGCAAAAACACGCAAGACGTTTGACACCGTCTAGGACAAGGCATCCTGCTTGATTAGCATCACACCCACTAGCATCCACTCCTTCCACCACCGAATTCGCTACTAACAGCGTCTACTATCTACGAGATGCACGACAGAATTTTGCCAAAGATTCTGAGGCAGCTCCTTCAAAGCCCATGATCACTTCCACCTGCAGGGACAAACGGATACATGGGAACATCACAACCTGGAGTTCCCCTCCAAGCTACTCATCATCCTGACTTAGCAATATATATCATTGTTCCTTCACTGCCATTGGGTCACACTCATGGAATTCCTTCCTAAAAGGTCAACCTACAGAACATAAACTGCAGCTGTTGAAGAAGGCAGCTTGCCATCACCACCTGAAGGGCAACTAGGGATTGTCAATAAATGCTGGTCAGTCAGTGACGCCCATGTCCCATGAATGAATTTTGAAAAAGTTGGCTCAGATGTCCTTTTTGCTGGTAGGTTAGCAAACTCAGTTGCAAAAGCCTTCAAAGGTCTGTCTTTCTCACAAAGAATTTCAGCTCCCCTCCTTTTATGATTCAGTCTGAATCCCAGCTGGCAACAGCACAGATCAAACCCAAGTTGCAAGGACACGGTCTTGAAAACAAAATGACATGTCTGCAGAATCAGCTCAACTGCACCTGTTATTTTCTGGATGCTGTAGATCAAGGGGGGAGGGTATGGTGGATCAGTGGTTAGCATTGCTGCATCACAGTGCCAGGGACGTGGGTTCAGTTCCAGCCTTGGGCAACTGCATTGAATTTGCACATTCTCCCTGTGTCTGCATGGGTTTTCTTAAGGTACTCTGATTTGCTCCCACAGTCCAAAGATATGCAGATTAGGTGGATTGGAAAGCTAAATTGCCCATAATGTCCAGAGATGTGTACTTTGGGTGGATTAGCCATGGGAAATGCAGGGTTACAGGGATAGGATAGGAGGGTCAGTCTGGGTTGGATGGTCTTCGGAGAGTCAGTGTAGACCTCTTGGGCGGAATGGCCTGTTTCCACGCTGTAGGGATTCTATGGATCAATGTTAGCTTTAACACCTGCAATATAACTGTATTTGCTGAATCTCCACTTGTGGATTCTTCAATTTATTTGTACTGCAAACACTGCAGTTATCAACTTCTACCACTGAGCGTAGATGACTTTACTTCCCTTCTGTATAACTTTAAGCAGGTTTGGTCACCTAAAAGTTTTGCTTTCCAATTTCATCTTTCGTTTTTACTTCCTTAGTTCGTCTCTTTTTGGTCATAGAGTCATAACGCACAGAAACAGGCCCTTCAACCCAACTCATCCATGCCGACCACGTTTCCTAAACTGAGGCCACCTGGGGGGGAAAAAGAAAACTTTTGAACTCGTGGATCCCATCATAACATGACTTTTCTCTCATTCCACCAATGAAATCTCAACATGTCAGTGTCTCTTTCTCTTCCTTTTTCTGCTGATACTTAATTGGTTTCCTTTTGAAAACAGCACACTTCCTGTGATTGATCGTTGCAAGTTCTGACATGTCCGAAAAGGAAATATTTCCTAGCTTTCCTCTTGGATTCATTTGTAACTTTGCTGTATTTAAGGCTCAAAGTTTATGATCTTCTACAGTTAGGAACATTCTGTCCAGATCTGTCCTGTCCACACCATTTATAATTTTAAAAAACTCCTATCAGATATTTTCTTTTACAAAAGAAAAAGCATCAACGTGTACAATCTTCACTGTAATAGCTGTAATCACTCAGTTCTGGTACCATCCTTGTAAATCATTTTTGCATTTTTGTAGCCACTTGTATGTCCTTTGTAGAGTACAGAGGCCAGACCCTGCACAATATTCTTAATTTGGCCTGATACAGGATCTCATGCAAGCTCAATATAATTCCATTCCTGTTGAATTCTATAACCGTAGAAAATATACGAATGCCCTGTTTGCATTTTAGTTGCTTTGCTGGTCTGTGATGCTTCTTTTAATGTTTTTTATCAATTTAGTTCTAGCTCTGTTTGCTTTTCTATTTCCATGCAGTTCCTTATTTTTGTTGCGTAGATCATGTTTCTATTTTTCCCACCAAAGTATATCACCCTTACAAGCATCGTAGTTAAAGTTCTTTCAACATTGAGCGGTTAAGTCTGCAAGTTTCCTAATGACTTCAGTTATGTTGTACTTTACCTCAGTGTTAGCTTAACCCCTGAGCTTGACCAAATGTTCAAATCATTCATACAAGTTCTAACACTAATCCTTGAAGAACACCACTTTGTACTTTCCTCCAGTGTGAAAAACTTCCTTTCATCCCTACTCTGCTTTGTTTCTAGACAAGTAGATCATCTTGATGGTGGCACAATCATGTGGAGGGAGAGTCTGGTACCTTGATGCATCGACCAAGTGAATTCAAATATCATCACAGAAATAAAAGAATTTGAATTCACATTACAAATAAGATCTGGAAACGAAAAGCCAGTGGACAACTCTGCAAAAAAGAGAGACCATGAAGCTATTGATTCTCATAAAATCCCAACTGGATCACCAATGTCCTTGAGGGAAGGCTGCAGTTATCCATAATTTGTTTAGCCAAATTATAAGGCTTCAGCTACATGCAATTGACCTACCAGCAAGCCTCTTAACTGCATTAAACTTAAAAGCATCTTGGAATGGGCAACACATGCTGGCAGTGCCCGTATTCCGAAAATGAATAATAATAGAAATAATTTCTACGGTATACTGCTGAAACTCCAGTTTGAAGGGAGACAGCAACCATACTTGGAAACTTGAAGTTTGAGGAAAGAATTGGTTAATACTGTTTCATGTTTGAATATCTTCAGTGGCCTTGGTGCCAGGGTATGTGCGTCAGTTTGAAACCTCTTGTTCTTTATTTCATTCATTCATGTGATGTTGGCATCATTGGCTCAGCCAGCATTAGTATTCAACAGACTGGGTAAGGACGGCCAACTTTCTTTTGTAGTAATTGTTACTAGGTCAGCCAGGTGGACCTCATAGAATTTGAGTTCCCTGATTGGGTCTGTTAAACTCGTGATCAGGTAGCTCTGGCTGACAGATATAAACAGGAGTGTCAGAGGTTCTGGCTGTGAGGAGGCCAGACCAGTACTATGCATGTGTAACTAAAGGGTGACTTGGTGACGGGATGTTGTCTTCTGTGGAGTTATTCCAGTGGCGACAAGAGGGAAAAAAACGCTCCTGAAGATATTTGCTCACAACAGTCGTCTTTGAGTTGGGATAAGCATTTCTGGCATCATGCTTTTGTTTGGGAAGCTTGACTCGTCCAATACTGTCACTAAGGACTGGCTTAGTATGTGGAAAGAATGTTTTTTTTTCTGGGCAACTGAAAAGCAACAAGGAATTCTCTTGAAAGTGTGTGCGCCCACCAGCCTTTTCAGTTATTAAGAGCCTGATTTTTTTTCTGCGGCACCAGATACTAAAACCTTTCAGGACTTGACAGATTGAGTTAAATAATATTATGACCCCAAGCCTCTTCAGATTCTATCAGTTTTACTTGGCAGTTTGAGAACCAGGGGAATCTGTGTTGGGATTTTTGAGGTTAAAATGACTGACAGAGGCATGTGACTTTGGTTTAACTCTTAATAAGATGCTAAGCGACTGTTGTTTGACATGTGGGATTAATGATTAACCATGCAAAACCACCTACTAGCAAAGCCCAGTTGGACTTCAAACAGGCACTGCAACTGGCTTTATCATTGGAAAATGTGGCAAGTGGAGCATATGAGTTACAGGGTATGCCAGTGGAAATAGACATCCTCGCCAGGCTCACTGAGCTTGGGGGTTATCACTTGAGTGCAGGCAATTGCATAGCCTCACTCAGGATATACCCTGAACAGAGGGACTTAAGGTCAGTCCACAGCAAAATCCCAAAACAAAGCCAAGCCTCGGCCAAATGGTTAAAATTTCCTTCAGAATCTGGGCAGGAAAACTATTGTAGTTGCTGCCGATATGTGGACTTGATACAGCAAGAGAGTCCCATGAGGCCTGAATTGAGTAAGAGAACGCGAGCGGTTGTCTAGGAGAGTGCACATCCTGGAAAGTCCACCTACATCTGGCTTGGAACAGTTAAAAGTGCTTAGTAACATCCAATTGGAACAAATCAAAACAAAGGCCTGGTTAAATAGTCACGCGATTCTAATGGAGTTAATACTGGCGCAGCTGTATCAGTGATTGCAGAAGCAGTTGTTGATAAAATTCGCTCTAGGCTCCAACCCTGAAGTTTGTGTAAGACCTTAGCTAGACAGAGAACCTGTACGGGGTAACCTTTACAGATAAGAGTTCAACTTCAATTCTGGCCTCGTATGGTGAAGCAGCTGGTTCAGTTACCACTGTTGTAGTAACCAATTCGGGCCCAAGCTTGATGGGAAAAATTGGTTGAGAGAGATTCACCTTGATTGGCTCAACATTTTTCAATTCGAAAATGGCTGCCTGAGTGAAGTCCTAATTTAATACTTAAGAGGTGTTTTAGGAAGGCCGAGGGACTATCAAAATAGCCAAGGCCACCGTGCATTTTGTCAGAAAGCAATTCCACGGTTCTGCAAGGACCATCCAGTGCTGTTTTTCTTGCATGCAAAAGTAGAGGCAGTAATCAGGAGGCTGGAAAATGAAGGAATCATCAAGCCACTACAGTTCGCAGAATGGACTTGTATACAAAGCTGGAGGGGGAATGGGGTTATCCTTCATGAAGCATCACATGAGCCATGTGTATCTGCAATTGTGGTTAGATGAGAATTCCCAGAAGTATGCTCCTATTAATACCCATAACAGTTCACCAGCATATGAGACAGCCATTTGGGATATCATCAACCTGTGCCACTCTCAATGGATGATGGATAATATTTTGCAAGGCCTACCTTGGGTCGCCATTTATCTGGATGACAGGTTAATAACAGGGAAGACTAATAAAGAACATTTAGAAAACTTGACATAGTCCTTGGACATTTCTCCAAGGTGGTGGTGTGTTCCACTCATCCCAAATTACCACCTTGCATTACAGAGTTGACAGGACTGAGTCACACCTGTTGGAAGATGAAGTGAGGGCAAATCAAAGGTGCCGTGACTCCCACATCTGTATCAGAGCTTAGATCTTTCCTCGGATTGGTGAATTATTATGGAAAGTTCATGTGTAACCTGGCCTCCTTACATCTGCTGTTGAAAAATGGTCAGCCTTAGAAATGGTCATGTAGCCAAGATGTAGCTCTCAGGAAAGTGATGAAGCAGATCTCGTCTTAAAGTGTTGGCATGTTATAATCCCAATCGATGTCTGCTGACATCCGATGCCTCCCTGTATGGAACGAGGGTAGTATTGGCTCACTGGTGGCCCAAAGGAGAGGAACGCTCAATAGCGTACACTTCACAAATTTTGGCTGATGCAGAGCATAAATATGCCCAGATAGAGAAGGAAGGTTTGCCGGTTATCTTTGGTGTGAGAAAGTTCCACTAACATCTTTACGGGTGTAAATTTGTAATAGAAACAGTCCACAAACACTTGCTAGGGCTTTTCAAGGAGGACAAGGCCTGTCGCTCATAGCTTCACGTCGAATTCAGCAGTGGAATGTCGTTCAAAGTACGTAGAACTACAAGTTGGAACACCGCCCTGGAAGCCAAATATCAAATGTAAACGCCGCCGCCGCCGCCGCCACCACCTGTGGTGCTGTCACTGAGAGAATCCATTCTCATTTTAAACTGTTACGGACACCCTTGCGGTCACCACTGACAATATTAAGACTGTGGACTCAAAACATCTGGTCCTGGCACAACTAAAAGAGCTGGTGGTGAGGGAGGAACAAAAGAGCTATCACAGCCAGAATTGAAACCTTTCTGGATCTGGTGAGACCAGATCACTGTAGAAGAAGCATTTTATTATTGGGAGCAAGAGCGATTGTCCCAAACAAAGGTTACCACTTGATAGTGGCTGAATTCCACCATGGGTGTCCAAAATGAAGATGTTGGTGAGAAGTTATGCCTAGTGGCCAGGATTGGATGCAGACATAGCTGTGTTGGTGGGGCAGTACCCAAAGTACCAACAAGGACAAAAATGACCAGCTGCAGCGCGCTCTCATTTGTGAGAATGGCCAGGTAAACCCTGGACTTGGTTACATATCAACCATGCCAGACCTTTCATGAGCTGAACGTTCTTGGTCATTGTGGACGCCCACTCAAAGTGATTGGACATGCATAAAGTTCATTGGTCAATCACGGGGATGATGATAGGAAAGCTGCAGGCTTCTTTTACAATACATGGGCTCCCGGTAGTGCTCATCACAGAAAATGGGCCATCATTTACCAGCAGGGAATTAGAGTATTTGCTAAAGTCGAATGGTATTTGGCCTACAAGGACAGCTTCATACCATCTGTTGTCCAATGGTCAGCAGAAAGAGCAGTCCAAGCTTTGAAGGCAGGCTTAAAGAAACAACCTACAGCTTCACTCGATACCAAACTGACCTGGTTACTATTTGATTATTGGACCACTCCTCATGCAATTCCAGGGATAGCTCCAGCAGAGTTGCTTATGTGGACCAGACTCGGCACCAGGTTAAAGCTGGTTTCCTGGACCTGGAGCGAGGGTAAAACCACTTCAGCATTGCCAATGTCTGAAACAAGACTTCTCTAAGCGAGAGAGACAATTAACTTCAGGGGACGAAGTTTGGTGCTGAAACCATGGAAATGGCCAAACATGTTTCAGAGGCACGGTCAGGTCCCGTGATGTACAGGTTTGGGTCGGTGAGGTGGTCCTAAGCAAACATGTGGACCACATGAAAGCTGCCAACTTGCAAATGGGGCAGGAGCAAAAGATATCAGGCCCCTCAAGAACAGCCGGAAAGACTGTCGGAACCCATGGGTTCTACCCTCTCCATATAGCATTGAAGAAACGTCAGTCTGAGATGGACATGACAGATATCACAGCCCCAATGCCTTTACCGCTTGAAGAGGATGAATTTCTTCCGAGATGCTCCAGGCATAAGAAGCAGGCTATGGCCAGGTACACGTGGCCCATTTCCAAGGCTGAGTTGGAGGAACCGGACCTAGTGCAAAAATGGCCCAGGAGAGGCTACATGAAAAGTAATGGACCTGTGTCTCCAAAGTTAGAGGGGAGCATGGAATGATTGTTATGAGGTCAGCCAGGTAGACTGCATAGAATGAGATTGCTGGTTGGGCTATTAATCTGGTTCAATCAGAGAGCCCTGGCTGACAGATATAAACGGGAGCATCAGAAGTTCTGTTTGCTGAGCTAGCTCGGTAGAAGCTAGAACCAGTGTCAAATACTATGCATGTGTAAATAAAGGGTGACTTGGTGACTGGATACTGGCCTCTGGAGTTATTTCACCTTACTTGAAGGACATTTCTGAACCAAATGGGCTTTAAATGGCAATTGAGAGTCGTTAAATGATCACTGTTAGGCCAGCTTTTAGGTTCTAGATGCTTATTGAATTCCAGTCTCACCATCTGCCATTTGGGATTCAAACCCATGTTGCCACAGCGTTAGCTTGGGTATCTGGATTACTAGCCCATTGACAAAACCAGTAAGCCATTGCCTCTGAAAACCAGCAAAACTTCATTCTCAGAAAGTGATCATTTTACTTTGGCTCGCCACTCACCTTTTCAGACAATGCTATCAGAATATATTGTAACTCCATCAAATTTCTCTTGGAAAAACCATTGTCTCAAATCCAAATTATATTTGTAAGCTATAAGATGGCCTTGATCACCAGCTGCCGTAATTGGACTCTTCGGTACTAACCAACCACAATTCTGGAGCAAGATGCCAACATACTAGCTTTAAAGCTGGGGTAATAAAACAACAGCCAATGTCCAGAAGTCATTCAGTTTACTGAAAACTGGTCCCCAGTTGATTAAGGTGATCCACCTAATTGATGTTTCACCTACTGTTGGTGCTTTTGGGTTTTGCTGCAGTTTATCTTTTTTATACTAGTGTTTCCAGAGCTCTGAGCATTTATCTCCAAGAGTCTTTGATATTACTTTGTGGTTATATACTTATTCACTTGGGCAGAGTGGTCGAGGAGGATTAGTACTGTGCATCTGTACCCTCGCAGTGACTCATTCCTTCAAAAGTGTGGGAAGTGAGGAGATTGATCGATAGATAAAGAAAGTTTAGAAAATAAATGTTTTGGAAATGATTCCTGGGTTTTGCTTGACTATTAAGCTAGAATAATTAGTGCAGGTGCATTTAATTTTTTTCTCTATTTTTGTCCCTCAGTTTCCAGGTCAGATACAACAATGCCAGATGCAGAGTGAAGTGCACAGCGTGTTAATCTAAAATTATGAAACCACAGTGAACTTTTGTCAATATGCTGCAGCTTGATGCAGAGGTTAAGGGGAGGAGACACATTTGTTTAAACTGCAGATAGAACAGGAGTTTTATTTGCTCAATCTAACTGAAGTATGTGGTAGTTGCTTTTTACATTGTGGGTATACTGAAAAACTATGGACTTCACAAGGTAGGTTTATTTTTAGTACAAAGAATTTTCTTTTGAGAGAAAACTGGAAATTTCTGGTGTACATTTTGACAAGATGTCAGTAACATAAATTCCAGCAAGCTGGTCAAGTTGACTGGTGTTCTTGTCCTTTTTTTAGCCATAAAGATGATCATGCATGCTATTGCTCATAGAGGAAGCTTTTAAATATGTCTAATTTTAAATAGTAACATCAGTTTAATCGAATTAAACATTTGTATTTGTTTGAATCACTTCATATTTCATGACTTGGTGACCGTTTAGCGATGTGATGTTTTATTCTTTTACAATTCTGTGGTTTAAAATGCTGTGACACGTGCAAAATCGTGTATTTTTCACAATTTGTGAACTTTTTTTCAAATTTATAACTAAATTTGAATTATTTTTACTAAGGAGAAGGAACTGAAGTGAGCAGTGAGGCATACATGAAGCAAAGGAGATGAAAAGTGCTAAGGAGAAAAATCTGTTGACAGATACTGATGGTTATTAAGGTTTGAAGTTTTTACTAGGAATAAAATACGTTGATTGTCTGCAAAATTGAAGAGTTTAAGAATGATTTGCAGGCGTGATATGTTTGAAACTGGAAGTAGCAGTGTGATGTGGTCTTTAGGGGAGGGTGAGGAGAAGGAGGGAAGGAAATTACAGGGCTGCATGATAGTCCCGTTGAGTTTTTGTATAATTGATTACGTTGTATCAGCCTCACAGTACTCCTGCATTTAATTCTTCACATGTTGACTCGTCTGCAGGAAGGGATAGTTGTTTGGTTTGGGACTTCCACGTTCGATGGAAAACCCATTCATGATGTATGAGGGGAAGAAGGGAATGCTTAAAATCCATGTCTGATCGTGCAAAACAGGTGTAAGTTATTGAAGTGACTGGAAGATGGATAATTCCATTCCTTTTGTACTGTACATTGTAATATGATAATTTAGTAGGCAAGGAACTACCAAGATGACCAAATCTTGGAGAAATTGTTTTTGTTGCAAGTTAATCAAGTTAATGTTTTCGACAGAATGCGTTTGCAAAAAAAAAAAAATTGAAATCGAGGACATTTTGTGAAATTCTCCTTTTTGTTCCTTACGTTTTATTTGGGGTCTTCGCAGTGCTGGTTGATCTCTTTCTCCATCTCCTCCTGTCACTTATCCATTTGTCTTGCAAGCTGTAGTGTTTACGTCTTCGATCACTGCATCGTTTCATCTCAATTTAGGCTTTCCCGTTCTCCTTATCCTGGCAGTCCCATGTTGATCACTCACCTATCTACAATTCTTCTTGTCTCTGCAATTGCCATACAGTGTTTATCTCTTCTCAGCTACTTTCTTTGTTGCTCCATAATCTTCACTGACCCTGTGTGCTGATTCGTGATTTTTCCCTTTTCTTATTACTCCACGAGTTTTTCACAGCATCTGTTCCTTGTTTCTTGATGTTGCCCAAGTTGATACACTATGTAACAAGGACTCACAGCTGCCTTGTACATTCTTCCTTTCAGTTTCAGCAATATTTTGCTGTCATGTAAGATTCCGCTGCATTTCTAGTTACTCCAACGAGAGGTAATCTGTTAGTTTAATTCCATTTACATATTCCCACATTCAGCTACCACTGAACCCAGGTGATTGACATTGCTCACATTCTCCAAGTATTCACTTGTAACTTTTTACAAGTTACTCTCTGGTCATCTTTAGCAGTTCAAACTGACAGTACACCAATTGGCTCTTTAGTCTGTTGATCTTCAGACCGCTGTCATCTGGTGCTTTTCTCCAGATACTTTTATATTGTGTCATCATCTCTACCACCGTTCAATGACAGATGCAAATTTCATTGACCATTGTATTTTCCTTCTCATTTGCTCAGTGACCACATCCAGGAAGAGGGAAGGCTTCAGTATAAATTCAGTAACCCAACTTTGGGGAATTCTCGTACATTCAAATAACTGAGAAGGAAAAGAGATCCTACAGTTATGTTCTCCTGGATCTTCAAGGCATCCAGTTATCATACCCCGTCAGTCACTTTCGAAGCGCTGTCTGCAAATTCAGCAACTATTTTGATGCACAGCCAGAACCCACATGCAGCAAGAAAGTAGATAGCCAAATCGTTTGGTTTTGAATGGTGTAGACTGAAGGAGGAATTTTAGCCAAACAGGTGTACAGTCCTACTCTCCTGAAAACCTGAAGAATGAAATTGGTCCTCACTTTCATGTCTCATCTGAAGGGGTAGCATCTTCATATAAGCAATACTCCCTTAGTAATTATGGATTTTAACAACAGACTCAAAATAATGGTGTATTGCATTATCTTATAGTAGTGATGTAGATGATGCATCAATTGTACATGTTGAATCTGAGAATGTTTATCGGTAATAAGTAGGCTTTTCAGCAGAATTGTTGGGAAGTAATAGAAAGTGAAAATTCTCCAGTGTAGATGTTACTTAAAAATTTCTATTTATCAGCAATCCCTTGTCAGGCATAACTTTTTCCTGTAGATGAGATGTCAGCATTTGCCGTGTGTTTAGTGATAGGCTTGTGATCTCTGACTTAGCTTTGTAGGCACTCTTATAGTGAGGACCTTGGCAGCGAGCAGAGGCGGTGAGGGCAGATTGTTGACTCAAACAGTTGCCTTTCTTTCCATCTCTTCTTCTTGATGCCATTTTGCAATTATGCATCTTCGGTTCAAGTTGTTTAAGAGACTGAAGTATTTCATTGACAGGACTGAAACGCAAATACAATTTTTAAAATATTTACACTCCTCCTTGCAGAGTGAAGACAACTGACCACCTTGTTTGTTAATTATACTATACCATACTCTCTATTGACTTGGTCTGAGGAATTTGTGTTGTGTTTTGAGAGATCTCAATATTTATAAATTTTGTCTAATTGACTTATCAGTTAAACTGACCTGAAGTTCAAGTTAAATATTGATTTGAACAAGTTACACTGCAGGCTGCTTTGTAGCTGCTACAAAATAGTCCAAAAATAACATTTTGTAAAAACACTTTGTACGTTTAGCCGTGTGCTTTTTCAGGAGTTTTGTTTTTAAATGTAAAATGCTGTAAATATTGTGTGCATGAAAAGTGATAATTTAAGTATGATTTATATTCAGTTTCCTCCCAGTGTTATTGCTTGTGGCTAAAAAAAATTGTGTGCCATTCCTTGAGATATGTCTGGTAGTTTTCATCCCTATGGGTTATATATGCTATAAGGGTTTGCCTAATCTCTTAAGCTTGCAATGCAAATTCGGTGTTTGCGTCTGCAAATGATTAGCAATGGGTTTGAATTGAAGAGGCTGTTTTATATTTTGGCCCATGTAAATTGACATTCAGAAAAACCAGGAGTCGTATATTCAAGTAAAACTTTTTCTAAACATACCGTACATTTAATTAAGCTTGAACGGTGCTTTTTGATCCTATCCACTTGTGTTCAATCTAAAGTTAAGTGTCACTGTGGCCACTGTATTCACTGAAAATCATGAATGCTGAGTAATATACAAAGTAATACAAATTAAGGTCCAATATCTTTCTTCCACCGAGGATGGATTGATTGATTTGTTGTTTATTATCTAAATCTCAGTTTTTTTGGAAATGTAGGTGGAGGGATAA